ATGGTGGGGAGGGAAGGAAAGAAATAAGGAATAACACATTCCAGTAGCCTTGGGAAAAGCTTCATGACAGTGTGTCATAAAAAGTCATATCAGAGCAAATAAACATGATGACCAAGCCTATTTTCCATGACTGTGCCCTAACAGTCACATGCCCAGATTATCTGCCCGAACAATTTGCTTCCCCTGCAGAAAGCAACTTTCAGCTCAGACACCAATATACAATGGAGAGAGGTGGTGCTTTTGAGCCCAACAACAACGGTACTCGTGTTTTACATGTCGTGTTTTACGCAGAAACTCATTTACAGGTTCAGCAAAACAAGACACGAGAGTCACCCTTGGCAGGCCAGGTTCCTCCAGGCGGCCACACAACGTGGAGTCTCATCTCCCTGCTCTTTAGGGATTCATCAAGTGCAGTGCTGGGCACTGTGCCCAGCCCTACAACACAGAGGCCCAAAAAAGAACCAAGCTGCAAAGGGCAACTCCTAGAAAGCCCCTTGCGTGAGGGTGAATCTCATGTGAGCTCCATTTTGCACTGGTCAGCCAAGTTCATGGGAGGAATGGAGAGTGCAGCAAGACTTCATACAGCCCCCAAGAAAGGACCAATTTTATGTTGAGAGCCATCCATTCCCACCGCAGGGTAGGGCTGCAGAGGTCCCTTCTAGGTACAAATGACAAAAGGACAGCAAAACTACAGCAATGCAGAAGGTTAAGTGACTTGGACACTCTCAGTCACCTAGCTAACAACATCATTTATTCGACTAGCAAAGCTGTATTTATGAAGCACTTACTCCAGACTAAGAATACTGTCATTTCTTCTACAAAAGTACATCATGTACAAGATCTCACTCCAGCCCATTTAATTCAAGCTGCACAACACCATGTGAGTTCAATTAAATCAATAATGTAGGAGTTGTATCTTCTTCCAGAGAGCTGCACTCCGAAGACCTCATCTGCCCTTCACATCAGTCTAGCAGCAACAAGAGGGACAATTCCATGAGTGCGGCTACTTCAAAACCAAATACAAAGTTTGAAAGAAACTTGACAAGAAAAGTCAGTGGCAGATTCCAAACGTAAAGGACAACAGGAAAAATGATTGTGCGTTCAGCCTTTCCACCCTGACCTCGCCACCGGCTGCTGTTTCATCACAGAGGGGAGCCAGTAGTGCAGCTCTGTGCAGGACAGCCATGAGGAGGAGCTCCAAGTCCTTGAGCAGGTTCAAGGTTTAAGCCCCCAGTCACAGGCTGAGCAAATAATTTACCAGGGTGAGCAATGAGAGCCTTCATCACTGCAGTAAGAGGCCGAAAGCCGGAATGGGCTACATGAGTAGCCCAGGACTTCTCTTGTGATGAGCCAGACGCCTCCTGTTGCTCCCACATACCTGTGTGCACTGGCGGGGAGGGATGGTCCTTCTTGAACCCTGTGGTAACTCCTGGTCTGCAACACAGACCGCGACAGGCCAGGCCAGGCCAGCCCTGACCAGCCTCTCCAACGAGTCACGCTGGAGCGCAAAGCTGGAGAACGTCTAGGACAGAGCCCAGCGCTTCCAATGCCCGCAGCTCTTCCCAAAACCAGGACAAAACTTCTACTCTCCTTGGTTCAAAGCAGACCCCATCTTAACATTGTACTGAAGGCCTATTTTTATGACACATTATAAATCACACCACCATCATTTAGACTGGGACAAGAACAATAAAAAATCAGTGGTAATTATACTGTCAGCCCCAGCAATTCCCCTTCTTTCGCAGTACTGACCTTAGGAGTCACTGCTTACAAAGAGCCCTCAATGCCTTTAGAGCAATTCCCTTCTGTTTTCTTTCAGCATCTGAATAATGCCCTTTGCACTCCTGCCAGAGCATATGGGGAGCCAGAACAATGATCAGAGAGGGCAATGGCAAAGACTCAAACATTGCAGGAAATCCCATTGCCTGCAGTTGCCAAAGTACATGCTAACAGCATGTGAAACAGTCTGAGCACTGAACAACAAAGAAGTCTGGAAAGCTGCTTAATCAAGACAAACAGAAAACGACAGTGCACTTTTTTGGATGATTTTACCTTCCTCTAGCAGCAGGCATTTTGTCTCCCTTTCACAGGGGGCACAAAATAACCTACCGGCAAGTCCAAAGCATCCAAGCGCCTTGCAGTGAAATGCGCAGCAGCAGAATCGTGTGTCACTGCATTATTAACACACACTGCCTACACCTGATATGGGAGCTAGCATCAGCTTTCTGCTCAGCCACAGCAGGCCTCACCACAAGAGGCCACACGGCAGAAACTTCGTTAAGAAAGAAAAAAATAAATAATAAAAATCAGCACACAGCGTACCAAACTGGCTCTGAACCCACAGAGTCTACAGAAAAGCCCCATGTCTCATAAAGTTTCATTTTATATTATATACTTCTGCCCACAACACAAGTCAGTCTCCAAGCTCTCTTCTCAGCATAACTCACCTTCACGGGGCACTCGCTTTCCTCTTCTCCCGAAGCTACAACGGAGATCTACGGATTTCCTCTGATCACCCAGCTGAACCAGGCAAACTTCTGCAGCAAGTGGTTGAGACCAAACTGCAGCTAAACCTAAAAGACAAACTGTCGTTATCGATCAGCTGGAGCTGCTGGAAAACCAAGAGAACAGCAAAGATTCACCTGTACAAGAACCACTGAACTGAAACCATATAAATATCACTGCGATGGAAGGATTAGCTCATTTTCCATCTGTAAGATACTGGACCACAACATTTCTAATTACAGTAACCTCACAAGATGCCAGTTCCTCTGGGAAAAATTCTAGCAATGGATCAGATTTGCTGTTCACCATGTTTAGATCTTACATGGAACAACGAAGTCAGACCATGTCTGAACATTTTAGAAATTCAACACAGCAATTACTTTTGGCTGTTTTTTTTTTTTTTTTTTTGCTTTTTTAGATCCCTTACAGCTGAAAGGTTTCCTTTTTGCCAAGCAGACATTTTCGAAGCCATAATCATGGGTTGCAATCAGTCATGGCAAAACAGCCTCCAAATTGCGCTGCGATTAAGACGCAGTGTCCCCTTCATGGCTGTCTTCCCAAAGGAGACTGCTCTGTTTTGATCCAATGCACCATGCAGCACTGCAGGGAGCTCACTGGGCAGTTACCTGCTGCAGCACCAGTGGGTCAAACTCTTCCCCTTCCTGCAATCTCACTTACAAAAGTGTCCAGGCAAGAGGAAACTTGCACAGAATCTCCCCAGACTCAGGAGATTTTGTACTTCTTAAAAGATAATCAACCTTCCAGTGCAGATATCATGCCACTCACAGCAAGTGAATTACAAAAGTTCTCCAGGACACAAGTAAATGTCATTTCAGAAAACATCTATTATTTTTTGAAGAAAAAAATCTTTTTAAAGGCAATTTTCACAACAGTCAGGGGTTCAAGTAGGGAAACTTGTTCTGTTTAGTCAGGCAAAGCAAACATGCTCTACTAGGGCAAAAGACGAGCAAACCCCTCCAGGGTGAAGAATAGCATTAAAGCAGCAAGCCCAGCACCAATTATAGACTAGGCCAGAAATAATTACCAAAGCAAACCACAGATCACTTAGCATCCCAGAACTTTTAAATTGCACTGGAGAAAAGTCACTCGGCCTTAGTGATTACTACAAATCCTTCGTGCTGACCTTACAAAGCCTGAGCTAGCAGTGTATTTGTATAGGTGACTGCCACACACATGCCCTTACCTCATCCACAGGGCTCCCCAGTTCGCCTCACACGCACAGCGACTTCTCCTCTCCTCCTGGCAGCAAACACCAGGAGATCTCCAGTCATGGAAACTCTTTAGAACAAGCTGCAGTCATTTTTTATCAATTTATTAAACAGAAAAGAAGAAAAAAAAAAAGGACATTTTATAAGGTGAGCACTCGTGTGGCATATTGCCACTTGCTGCATCGGTCACAGCGTCTGTGCTGCCCACGGGGCACCTCCTGCCACGAGCTCGCCAGGTTTGCGGCAGCGTGAAATAACAGCCGTGTTCCACCTGCTGTTGTCCTTACCAGCCCTTGTCCCCGAGGGATTTCTCTTTTCTGCCTCCCCTGGAAGCTCAAGAGCCCGAGTTCTTTGCTCGCCTCTTGCCCTTCTGCCCCGGCGGGGCGGGCAGGCCCTTGCAGGCGGTTCCTCGCCGGGCTGTTCCCGGTCCTCCAGGGCCGCTCCGGCTGCGCTCGCCCCACGTTTCCCCCAGCCACCCCCTGCCTGAAGCCTGTGGCTCTCGGCAGTTACGCAAGAGGTTTTTACTTTCCAAAATAAGAGGGGAGGGAGAGAAAGCGATGGAAGGGAAACTAATCACAGCACATTAAAATATTCTCCTTCCTGCGAGGCAGCCTGCAATAAGGCTTCCAAACCAAGTCTGGGAGCTGCTGGGGAGAGGAGAAGCAGATACCGGAGACCCTCCCGCTCCAGAACGCGCGGAAAACGCCCCGCCAGGCCCGATGCGGACGAAGGGACGGGATTTTTGCCGTAATTTAAGACGCAGCCCCCAGTTCCCAGCGCCGCGCG